ATGGGAGGACCCTGGAGAGGAGGTAGAGGAGCAGCAAGAGGAACAAAAGGCAGCTGCACCTCACCATGAGGAGTCACCAACTGCTGGTTCTACCCCTGACCCTAACGCACCAGCCCATGACCCGGAGCAGCCACAGTGGCAGCAGCAACAACAAGAGAAGCCGCAGCAGCCACCACAGGAGCATACACCGCCTGTCCCTGTGGGTAGTTGGCAGCAACTACTGCAGCAGCAGCTGTCCAAGTCACCACGGTCCCCCATGAAGAGAGTGACTTGGAAGGAGAAGCTGCAAAGTTTGGAGCAGGGGGAGGCATCACCTCTGCGCCGCACCACACGCATCTCCCGGCCACCTGAAAGGTTCACACCAAGTGCACAGTATGCTTGCATGCATGATCATGAGGTGCATGATTTGGAGGAGTGCATGCTTGTGGATGCTGAGGGGGGTGAGCTTGGGCTTGATTTCTGTCTCATGGGTCAGGTGCATGAGCCTAAGTCGGTCAAGGAGGCCTTTTCCCGTCCTGAGTGGGTCGAGTCCATGCGTGAGGAGCTTGAGTCTCATAGGGTGAACGAGCCTTTTGAGCTGGTTGATACAGCTTGTGTGCTACCTGGAATGGAGGTCTTGAGGTGTCAGTGGGTGTGGAAGTATAAGCACATGGCTGATGGGAGTATTGAGAGGCCTAAGTCCAGGTTGGTGGCCATGGGGAACACTCAAACACGAGGCGTTCACTATGACCAGGTATATACCCCGGTGGGTAAACCTACCACCCTGAGAGGTTCCCTTGGGATGGCAGCATCCTCGGGGTTTCACATCCATCACATGGATGTGACCACTGCCTATCTTCATGGGGTATTGAAGGAGGAGCTTTACATGAGGCAGCCACCTGGTTTTGATGATGGGTCTGGCAGAGTTTGCCAACTCAGGAAATCAATCTATGGGCTAAAGCAAGCTCCAAGGCAGTGGTACCTCAAGTTTGATGAAGCGTTGATGGATTTTGGGTTTGAGAGGTCGGAATGTGACCCCGCCTTGTACCACTTGGTGAGGCGTGAGGGCAGGCTGTCCCTCTACCCCTATGTGGATGACATTCTGCTCATGTCTTCGAGCATGGTCTTGCTGGACGAGGTGAAGGGTCTCTTGTCCTCTCGTTTCCGCATGAAGGACTTGGGGGAGGCTAAGTACTATTTGGGGGTGCAGATTGAGCGTGATGAGAGTGGCATCTTGATTCATCAGGAGAGGTACATTCTCAACATGCTTGAGTCCTTTGGCCTTTCTGAGGCTAACCCCGTGCGTACCCCTCTCCCTACAGGGTTCGACGTGCATGCACATGCTGAGGAGCCCTTGCTGCGAGATGAGCTGGTCCAGCTCTATCAAAGCATTGTGGGGTCTCTCATGTATGCAAGCACGACCACACAGGCCCAGATTGCTTATGCAGTGTCACAGCTGTCCAAGGTGGTGTCTTGTCCCAAGGCATTTCACTTGCAGGCTGCTAAGAGAGTGCTAAGGTACCTGAAAGGTTGTGTCAAGTCAGGTATCTTCTACCCCGCACACAGCAAGCCTCAGGTTGAGTTGGTGGGCTTTAGTGATGCTGATTATGCTGGAGATTCAGCTGATCGCAAGAGTCACACCGTATTGCCTTAATGGTGCAGCCATCTCTTGGCAGAGCAAGAGGCAGCCGGTGGTTGCATTGTCCACCACTGAGAGTGAGTACATCAGTCTGTGTCAGTGCATTCGGGAGGGTGTGTGGCTGAAGCGTTTGTTTGGGGAGTTTGGGCATGAGTTTGCTGGTGGTGTGCCTGTGTTTGTGGACAACCAGTCTGCCATTGCCCTTGCACAGAATGCACGCTTGCATGACCGCACCAAACACATGCAGGTTCGGTGGCATTTCATCAGGGAGATGGTGGAATGCGGCGAAGTGATCCTCCGGTGGTGCCCCACCAACCGTCAAGCAGCAGATATACTCACCAAACCCCTCCCTTTTGAGCGGCATGGTGTGTGCATGTCCTTGATGGGGATGCAGCCCCATGTCAGCATGGTGCCTGAGCAGGATGTGGGAGGACTGGTGCTTCTCTGCCTTGACGACCTCATGCTGTGGATGGCGCCCCTCCCTGGGCAAGGGGGAGTGAAGTGAAGGATTTTGCCCAGTGGTGTTCAACCACCTCCAGCACGAGTAAGGGGGAGTGTTGATTGTGTAGGTGGTTGTGGTATTTTGCTCTAGCTGGTTGTGGGGTTTGGGCAAAATGTGGTGGTTAGACTTGTTGCGGGCTGGAATTGATCTTGCACCCAACAAGCACCAACAAACCTTTGCTATTCACTACAACACTTTTGGTGTTGCTAGTTTAGCACTTTGGGTTGTTGGGGATTGTTGTAGGGTGAGGGTTGGGTTGGTAGGGTTTGAACAACCCTAAGCTGGTAAGGCGTTGGCGACCCAACAGAGAATCACATGCTCCAGCTCCGGGTCTGCACGCACGCAAGTAGTGTTGCTACTTTCGGGCGTCTCATTCTAATGGGACTCGCCCCGAAGCACATGGCTAATAGTCGACCTATGGGGGTGGATGCCGAAGCGAGTGAAACTCCACCGGACTAAGTCCTCCCGAGCCGCGTGTTGTTAGCAGCATGGCTACAAATAGCCTATTTGGCGTCTAAGGGTAATTTGTGTGACGCACTAGTCGAAGCATGGTAAGTGGCGTTGTTGTGAGTGGGAAAGAATACTTTGGTGCTGATGTTTAGTAACTTTCTATGTTGAAAGAGGACCCCCTCTTTGTAGTTAATAATGCTTTATGTTGAGGGTTACCAGTTCCTCTTCTGTACCTACACCCAAAATTGAACAAGCTCATGATCTATCGGCAATCATAACAAGCATGCGTGATGCGAGTTTCAACATCCATGTACGTTTTTTTATTTCTTTCAAAGTGCAATATGTTATTATACAGTGATGATGAAAGTGCATAAAAATGCATGTAAATCGTAACAGGTTTATTAGAGGTTCTATCTGTTGTACTAAACAAAGTGCACGGAAGTTCTATGAGAATACAATGAAAGAGCAAGCATTTATAGGGCGAAAACGGGCCAGGCTAGGACCTTGGGACGTGCAAAGGTTGGAAGTGTCGTGTTTGGTGCAGGGCGATTCAGAATGTGGTTCGAGCCGAAGTGTAGGCCGAACCCAAACTGACGCGAAGTGCTCGGGCTATGGCTGTTAAGGTCCGGCTACAGTAAGAAACGTAAATTCCTTACGACAGGTATGGTCCGGTACTAGCGGTAAGGATGGTTTATAGGGCGGATGCAGGACCTTGGAAGAGAGGCTCAACATCACGCCAAATTTGTGAGTCAACTTTCAGCCTTTGCCCACGTCACCCGAATGCAGTTCAGAAGCCGAATCTCATACACCAGCGACGTACACTAATATTTCCATTACAGTTTTACATGGCTACTTGATATTCCACGTGTGAAATTAGCACTGAATTTTTGGTAGCGTTCGTTCACTTTGCTGACGGGTAATTGAGATTGTAAAAAATCAAAGAGTAATAAATATGCTATTTTAAGAACATTTGAGTTGGCCTTATTTGTTTTACGCATTGTTTGGGTGACTTAGCCTTTTTTTTTTTTCGCTACACGTTCTCATTTTGACGGACTGCTCTCGATTATTAACTTGCTCATGGGGCTTTTAAAGTAAGTCCAATTGGGCAAGCGGTCGATTATGTACGTACCAAATGTGCTGCCAACAGCCGAGCATCGCGTGTAATCAGGTTCATGATCGAGTCAACCAGGTTTGTTTGTTGCACCGTGTACAGCGCGAAGTGGAGTTCACCATATATTTGTTGCAACTGTCCAGGGCCATTTGGCGTACGGTCAGTAGCGAAGGTGCAGCGAAGGTCGTCATGCATTTCAGGCATCACTTCTACGACGCTAAGATTACACCCAGTGTGCAATTGAGTTTTCCATTTAAGTTTTAGAATTTCAGTGTTTCTTACATTTCAGTATAGCTCGTCGACGTCGCAGCTAAAAAAAATAACTTGAAAGTTACACGATGTTTTTTTTTTTTTTTTTTTTTTGCAGAAGAAATGAAAGTCGGCATACGTTGCTGTACGTTGGTCCCCTTCGTTACCTTTGGTTCACATCACTCCGTTGGCTGTTTTGTTCCAGATGTTGCCAGTTGGACGAACCATCTTCTTGGTGCAGCTTGCTCGGGGGGCTTGTAAACTGGGTGCAACCTCCCAGCACCAAATTGTTCGTGGGCAGGGAAACGAATACGAGCAGGGAAAATTCGCAGGCAGCAGCTGAGCATCATGTGTACAATGCGAAAAGGCGGCTGACAAGGACAGGTGTGTGTTGTTTACCACAGGCTTTGAAATTTACGAACTGCCTACCCAAATCAACTGTCAACTGTAAGCTGCGGGCGATAGCCCGGTACCAAAGACATAAAGCCGCGGACTTCCTTTGCACACCATCATCACCGAGACATAAAGCTTCCGACCCGAGACAAGACATTTCGACCGCGTGGCCGCGTTTTTGTCAATTTAGGGCGACGTCAGGTTGTACAGCTTTTTGTACGCCCTCTCCGGTAAATTTCGTTTCAACACGGTGCAGAGCGGTAATCGTCGAGAACCGCTTTTCACCGTGTTGGAACGTCCTGAACCACGATTCAGGAACTGTAAGCGCATGTGAAATGTAAAACCTGACGTCGCCCTTAGTCTCTCGTTGAAGTTCTCTCACGACCTCATTTCTGCTAGCTTCAACTTTGGTGACAAACGGACCGTCGTAACCTGTCTGCGTAGAAGTTTCACGCCCTAAATTCACATAGTCCCCACCCAAAATCACTTCAAAAACCACAACCCTCAAAGCGACATCTCTTGATCATCTCCAAGTCGACGCGGTTTGCAGATTCTACTCTTAGGTCCTGACATCTTTGTTCTGAAAAAACGGCGTAACTCGGGGAACCCTCTCTCCCATGGTCCTATACTATCTAGCATAGTACACTGCTTCTCCCTTCTTTTTCCTTCTCCCACCAATGGCGTACGGCTGCCCTTTCGCCGTGGCAAGTAACGCCGCGCCCCGCGGAGCAGCCGGCTGCCCCGTTTTCCTGCTTGTGGGCGCCGCAATTTGTACCGCGTTCACCGGGCTGCAGGAGGTGGTGCCGGCGGGGTGGCTGCAGCAGCTTCTGGTTCTCCGCTTCTTCTCCGCGGCGCGCGTGGGCGACCGGCCGTGGCGGGACGTCGTCGCATTTACCGTCGCCGCCGTCGCAACACAGGTACTAGCAGCAGCAACTCGTTTCACGCATGCACGCACGCCACGTCGCAGAGATTAGCAGCATCGAACGAACGCACTTTACCAAAATTCCAACCAGCACGGGCGGCGCGGCAATCACACAGTTCATGGCGGTACCTTGGGGACATTCAGGCTCAGAAGTGACTTCTGAGCCTCCTCAAAAGCCGCGCGGAATCTCCTCCGAAACCGAGATCGGCGCGTCCTGCGGCCCTTCCCCTAGACAGTCTGTAACGCCTGTGGGCTGTGTTAAGGGCATTCCGCAGCGCCAAATAACACCCTCGTTCTGCACGTCCCCATCTGCACGTCCCCATCTGCACGTCCACGTCTTCACGCCAACGTCTGCACGTCCACGTCTGCACGTCCACATCTGCACGTCCACATCTGCTCGTCCACATCTGCTCGTCCACATCTGCACGTCCACATCTGCTCGTCCACATCTGCACGTCCACATCTGCTCGTCCACACAGGCGTGCGGCATGACAGTGGCGTATGCGGGCATGTACGCGGTGGAACCCACGGCTCACACGCTCGCCTCCATGCTGCTCGTGGCCTGCGACGTGCTGCCCATGACCACCGTGCTGCTGCTGCCCTGCCTCGCTGACTCGCTCTTCCGCTTCACCTACAGGTGTGTAGGTGTGTGTGTGTGTGTGTGTGTGTGTGTGTGTGTGTGTGGGTGTGTGTTTGTGCGCGCATGCATGCTGCACTCTGTTGGTATGTGGTCGTGTGATGGTGGCAGGGATGATGGCATGTCGTGGTGGCATGGTGGCATGGTGGCATGGTGGCATGGTGGCATGGTGGCATGGTGGCTCCCACCAAGCCTGCATCCGATCATCTTCCCCCTCGTCACCCACCCCTCTCCGCCCCTAAAACTCCCTCTCTTCCCTCCCCCGTCCCTCTTCCTTCTCTCCCCCTTCCCTCCCCGTTCCTTCCCCCTTTCCTTCCCACCACAGGCGCTCACCACACCTGCAACCGCTCGTCTTCCCCCTCGTCTCCGCCTCCATCTGGACCCTCCTCTCGCTGCTCTCCCCCATAGGCGCCACTGCTCACCCGCTCTACTCCGTCCGTTCCATCCTCCCCCTCGTGCAAGCCACTGCGTGGGTGGGCATGGATGGGGTGCTGCTGCTACTGGCGTGGCTGGTGGGGGGGATTCACCAGGTCATGTGGGAGGAGGATGCGGTGGGGAGGGGTGTGGAGGGATGGAGGAGCAGTGGCGGTGGGAGGGTGGTTTGGAAGGAGACAGAAGGGAGAGGGGGAGGGGTTGTGCGGTGCCGGGGGGATGGGGGGGGAGAAAGGGAGGGGGAGGGGGGCTACAGTCAATTGTGTGGTGAGGACTGTAATTGTGGTAGTGCAGTGCGGGATGGCGGAGGAGCAGGAGGAGCAAGAGAAGGAAGCGGAAGAGGGGGAGGGAGGGGAGGAAGGGACGAGGGAGGAGGAGCAGGTGGCGAAAGCAGGGGGAGGGGAGCCGGCAGCGGGCGGGGGCATGTGCAAGTCAGCGCGGCACTGCTGGTGGTGCTGATGGCAGCTGGTTCCGCAAGGGAGGCAGTGTTTTCATCCAGGTAGGTACCACTGCATGAGATGAGATGTTTTGTGATGCACTGAGGCGCGTCTCAAAAAGCGCGAGTACGTTACTGCTCATGGCGCCAGGGTCAACAAGGGAGACCGTGCTTTCATCCAGGTAGTATCTGAGTCAACTCAAAAGAATCCCCTTTTGATCATCCAGGTATCTACCACTGCATGAGACGAGGTAATGTGTGCTGCAGCACTGCCTGCTGGTGGTGCTCGTGGCAGCAGGGTCGGCAAGGGAGACCACTCCGGTACGTACCTGGTACCACTCCATTCACTCTGCTGCATTGCACTTGCAAACTTCTCATCTCACTCACGCTGCTGTTGCGTTTACCACGACCCATCCACTCCGTTTCCTTGGCCCATACCACCGTCCCTTTTCCTGCATCTTTTTCAGTCAACTCCAAAGTCCACCTCTCCCTCTCCCTCTGCCTCTCCCTAACCCTCTAATCCTCCCCCTTGCAGCTTCTTCCAAAATCCACTCGCTGAAACCCTCGTTCCCTCCGTCCCTGTATCCTGCATTCTCTCACAAGCCTGCACCAACACCATGCCTCCCCAGCCTCCCTCCTCGCTCGCTCAATCTACTCAACGTGCTGCATCTGCTGAAGCAGCAGGAGCTAGGCAGCTGCTGCAAGGAGAAGAGGGGGAGATAGGGGGGGAGCTGGGGAAAGTGGGGGAGGGAGATGCGGAAGGGGAAGTATCCGCAGCAGAAGGAGCCAGAGCAGAAGGAGATGCAGCAACAGAAACAGCAAAATCAGCAGCAGCAGTAGCAGCAGGCGCAGCAGCTAGAGAGGCGTGGGAGAAGTGGCAGGCATGGCGGATGGCAGGCATAGCACGGATGGTGCAGCAGACGCATCAGAGGGCAAGAGCAGGCGAGGTGTTGATCCTGTGGTCAGAGGCGGCAGTCATCCTCCTGAATGACCATGAGGAGGCCAAGCTCCTGGCTGACCTCGCTGCCATCGCCACCGCTGCAAGCGCTAACCGCATTGCTGCTGCGGCGGCCTCTTCAAGGCCTGCTGCCAATGCAGACCTGTCGGTTCTTGGCCCGTACATTGGCGCGTCTTATATGAAGGTGTGTGCTTGATGTTGATGCAGCATGGAGAGGTGCGGAACAGTGCGGGTGAGAGGCAGTGCGGGTGAGAGGCAGTGCTGGTGAGAGGCAGTGCGGGTGAGAGGCACAAGCATTGGTCCTGTGGTCAGAGGCAGCAGTGATTCTGCTGCACGCCCAAGAGGAGACTACCCTCCTGGCTGACCTCGCTGCTATTGCTTCTGCTGCAAGCTGGAACCGCACAGCCGCTGCTGCTGTTGCTGCTGCGGCCGCTTCAGCTGCGGCTGCTGCTTCAAGTTCTGCTGCTGCTGCTGCTGCTGCTGCTGCTGATGCAACCCCATCGGCTGTTGGGCTAGGCGTGTCGTATATGAATGTGTGTGCTTGATGCAGCGTGGTGAGGTGAGAGGGCAGTGCATCTTATACACATAGCGAAAGCACTTCCTCCCGCCCTTCTGCCACCCTCATCCCCTCTCGCTCCCCCACAGCGCATTGCCCCAGGGTGAGTCACCAATTCGTTCACATTCATCGCCCCGCTGCTCCTTATCACACAAGTCTGTCTGCCCCTGTCTGTCCCCCTCCCTCCCCTCCCCCCTCCCCCCTCCCCCCTCCTCTCCCCCAGCATTGTCCGGGAGCAATTCACCAACTCGTTCGCCCTCATCGGCCCCAGCGGCACCCCCATGCTGCGCTACAACAAGTCGCACCCCGTGCCCTCCGTGGAAGGCAATGTGCTGCCGGGCGAAGGCACTCTCCCCGTGGTGGACACGCCTCTGGGGAGGCTGTCTGTGGCCATCTGCTTCGACCTGCAGTTCCCTGCTCTCATCAGCCAGGCGGGCAGGCAAGGGTGAGTTGCGTGCGTGCGTGAGTCTGTGTAAATGTGTGTGTGACGTGCGGAGGGGGGAGGGGGAAAGGGTTGCCCTTGGCCATTCTTCTTCGACCTGCACTTCCCTGTGCTGATTAGCCACGCAAGGAGGCAAGGGTGAGGCAAGGGTGAGGCAAGGGTGAGGCAAGGGTGCATGTGAGGCTCAGGAACGGGAGAGTTTTGTGCCCGTACGCGTGTGTAAGTTCACTCACTCACTCCAATGAGTGTGGAAAAGGCCAGAGGAGTCACTCCGTTGCTTGTCAAACTTTCTCCCCTGGCCCCACTCACACCCAACCACACTCACACCCTCCAACGCCAACAACCACTCTCACCACCCTCAGAGTGGACATTCTGCTGCAGCCCAGCTGGACGTGGGGCGCCATTGGCCACGTGACTTTCGAGACGGATGCAGTGAGGGCAGCAGAGAACGGGCTCACACTGCTGCGCTGCTCCTCCATTGGGGTCTCGGGTGTGGTCTCCCCATATTACCGCACCCTTGCTGCACGGTGCGTGCTTTTTGAGCCGTCTCAATAACATGCGCAGAGCTTGCTGCAGCTGCTGCTGCTGCCATGAATATGTATCACATTATGTGTACTGTTGTAACAAGTGAGATTCTGCCTGCAACCAATAAACATCGGCACCACACACCTCTTGCCGTTAATTTCATCCATCTTCTCACATATTCACCCATCTTGCCCACAGGGTCGCCCAACTCCCAACACACATTTACCCTTTTGCCCTCCCTCCCTGCTCCTGCGTTTCTTCTCACTCTCCCATCCCTCTTCAGGGAAGTTCTAGACACTGGGCTACTCACGATGGTACTGCCCCTCCTGCCCCGTGCCCCAGCTCTCTACCCATATATTGGCCTCCCTATGTCCCTCCTCCTCCTCTCCCTCACCCTCCTTGCAGCATTCCTCGCCATTGCCCCGCCCTTCCTCTCCCTCCCCTTCTGCCGCTGTCTTCCCGACTCCCTCTGCTCATTGCTGCTTCACCATCTCTGCTTGGCCGGACAGCGGGAGGAGAGGGAGGGGAAGAAGAGGAAGGGATAGGGAGTAAAGACGAAGGGCTGGTCTGTAGCACTGTAAGGTTGCATAGAATGGGTGGCTGGGATCAAATTGCAGGTGCCAGGCTGGTCTGCTGTCCAAGTTTTGCCTGTCAACAATTTCAAAGTGCAATATGCCCTTATCAATATGCAGCAGCATGACAAAGGATATAAAAGTCTCGTTGGGTTCTTTTCAATATTTCTATGTGGTGAGATTACTCTATCAGCACAAGCATGTGCTTCTGCGTGGGGGGGGTGAGGGCGAAGGGAAGGCACGGGGGAGGGGGTGGACGAGGTGGAGGGCAAGGGGGAGGGTGAGAGGGAGGGCGAGGGGGTGGGCGAGATCGATGGCGAGGGCAAGGGCAGGGAGAGGGAGGGGGGAAGGAGGAGGGTGAGGGGGAGGGAGAGGGGGGCGAGGGCGAGGGCGGGGGGGGGAGGGGTGGGGGAGGGGAGAGGGAGGACGTGGGCGAGGGTGATGGAGAGGGAGAGGAGGAGGGCGAGGAGGAAGGCGAGGGGGAAAGCGAGAGGGAGGGCGAGGGCAAAGGGGGGTGGGGGGGTGAGGGGGGGAGAAGACAAGGGCGAGGGGAAGGTGGGGGAAGGTGGGGGAAGGGCAAGGCCGAATTGGGGGGGAGGGCAGGTATGAGGGCGAGGGTAAGGGCGAGGGCGAGGGCGAGGTTGAGGGTGAGGGCAAAGGAAAGCGCGAGGAAGAGGGCGAGGGGGAGGGCGAAGGTGGGGCCGAAGGGAAAGGGGGAAAGGCGGAGGGCGATGGTGAGGGCGCGGGGAGAGGAAGGGGGGAGGGCGAGAAGGTGGGGATGGCGAGAGGGGGGGGAGGGCAAGGGCGAGGGGAGGGCAATGGGGAAGGCGACGGGGAGGGCAGCGACAGTCAGCAGAAGTCGCAGGGACGGCGGCTGCAGCAGCAGGTGTAGTGGTAGCGGTGGCGGCAGCTGTAACGGCAGCTGAAGTGGCAGTAGCGGCAGGGGCGGCAGCTGCAGCGGCAGTTGGAGCGGTAGCGGCGGCGGCAGCTGAAGCAGCAGCTGCAGTAGCACTGGTGGCGGCAGCTATAGCGGCAGTGGCAGCGACGCAGCAGTGGCAGCTGCTGTAGCGGCAGTAGCTGCGGCAGTGTCAATGGCAGCGGCAGCTGTAGCGGTAGCCGGGACGGCTGTAGTGGCTGTGGCGTCTGCAGAAGCAGTGGCAGCTGTAGCAGCAGCGGCAGCTATAGCAGTAGCCGGGACGGCTGTAGCGGCAGTGGCGGTGGCGCCTGCAGAAGCAGCGGCTGCTGTAGTGGCATCGGCGGCGGCTGCAGCAGCAGCAGTTGTAGCGGCAATTGCGGCGGCAGCTGCAGCGGCAGCAGCTGTAGCGGCGGCTGCAGCGGCGGCAGCGGCAGGGGCAGCAGCTGTAGTGGCGGCTGCAGCGGCGGTTGCAGCGGCGGCTGAAGCGGCTGGTGCAGCGGCGGCAGCGGCAGGGGATGCGGGTGTAGCGCTAGCAGAGGCGGCAGCGTCAGCGGCAGTGGCTGCGGCAGTGACAGCAGCGGTGGCTGCAGTGGCAGCAGCAGCTGCGACTGTAGTGGCAGTGGTGGCTGCGCCTGGCAGCGGCAGTGCAAGGGGCAGCGGCAGCGCAAGGGGCAGCGGCAGCGACGTCGCGCGGGCGGCGGGGGATTGCGAGCAGCGGCGGCTCCCAGCAGTGGCGGCGCACAGGGCAGCAAAGGCGCGTGGGGCAGGGGCGGCACGCATGCACGCACGCATGTCACTAGAGGGTATAGATTGGATACATGAGGAGTCTGCTATTCTCAGCACGCACATGAAGAGCACTCATCCGAGCCCAACTCTGAGTCAACATGGTTGTCAAGAACATTCCATATCCAATAACCCAACAAAGAAGCACATGCGTGTGCTTATTGATAAACTAATGGGTTTTTTTTATATCCTTTCCATACTAACGTGGCTATATCTTATATTGAAGCATCACGTATCCATCCTCTGTAGCATCCATCCTCCGTCTCATCATGTATCACAATCTATACCCTCTCCACTGCTCCGACCCTTCCTCCTCCACCTCCCCCTCCCCCTCCCCCACCCCCTCCCCCTCCCCCTTCTGCCCAGCCAAGCAGAGAGGCTGAGGCAGCAACGAGTGGGGTGGGGTGACAGAAAGTAATTTCAAAAGGACGGGGCAAACGGCAAGTAATGATGCAAGGAGGGTGAGGTGTTAAAATCTAGCAGCAGGAATGATTGAACTATGAAAGTATTGGGTACAAATATGAAACCCTAAAAGGGGCTGTACCCCATATTGGCTACCCCACTACAGCCTACACATATATAACATGCATATACTTTGACACACCCCCATAGGCAAAGTGGGGGAGAGCAAGGGGTCACAAGACCAGTCAAGAGAAGCAAAGCAAGCTCAGGGTGGATCACAACGTTACCACACACACTAAGCACAAGCAAAGGGCCACAAGGCCAGTTCACATGCAGAGGTATATATGCAGCAACAACAGCACAGTGATCTCTACCTAGCAGAGCAAGCATGCAGGTGTATATATAGACCACAGTACAAGCAAAGTCTACAGCATGTGAGGAAACGTAGGCACAAGGCCTAACAGAGTGCAGAAACGCTGATGATCACCAGACGGAAGCGCCTTGGTGAATATATCAGCAGTGTTGGCCCGAGTGGCCACGTGAGCAAGACGAAGCTGACCACGCTGCTGCAACTCTCGAGCCAGGAAGTAACGCAGAGCGATGTGCTTCGTTCTGTGCTCCAGTCTGTGCTCCTGACACAAGGCAATGGCGGCCTTGTTGTCGACGTACAACACTGGAGGAGAACGAGGCCGCTCTCCCAAGTCGGTCAGCAGGTAGGTGAGCCAGCGTAACTCCTGTGCAGCCATGGCTGTGGCGTAGATCTCAGCCTCACAACTGGAGCTGAGAACTGAAGACGAGCGTCTAGAACGCCAAGAAACCGAACCAGAGCCAAGGCTGAAGGTGTAACCCTGTGACGACCGCTGCGTAGCCTGGTCGTCAACCCAAGAAGCGTCTGAGTGCCCAGTGAGGACAACGTCGCCCCGTCCTCCAAGCACGAGCCCCATGCCCGATGTACTGCACAAGTAGCGCAATACCCTCTTAGCAGCATCCATGTGCACCTTTCGGTGCCGACCAGGAGCCACGTAGCGAGCCAGAAGGCCAAGAGGGTACGCAAGGTCAGGACGAGTGCAGGTCATCAGGTACATGAGGCAGCCCACTAGCTCTAGGTAAGGACCACTCGGCTCTACGGACTCGTCCGAAGGTGGAGCTGAGAGCGAGTGATGTTGGTGCAACCCTACGGTTTGCACTCGGCTTGTTGTCCGTGTGCGTGAATGTGTGTGTGTATGGAATGGTATCAGGGCATGGGATAATATATATTTCATGCTTATAATTGTGTGTGAATGTTGAGTCATGATGTCGAGTGTGTGTGTCGAGTCAATAGCGAGTTATCGCTAGACGCGTGTTACGCGGTCGTTTGTGTCTCGCGCGCGGTTTCCATTTTGTCGTGCGCGGTTTCTATTTTGTCCTGTGTCGAACGTTCGGCGTGTCACAGGTGTGTGCAGCAGACCCATCAAGTGTTATAGTCACAATAGGCTTGAATGTGCCTAAAACGAAAGATAGAGAGCACAGACGGATTTCTGCACAGCGGCTTCAAACGTTGATAGCGTTCTGCTCACAGCTGCAAATGACTTGATTCAAATTGGATCTGGAGCGTCTTCACGTCGTCTACAATTAGCAATTTAGATTGCACGATTTGATAAAGAATTGACGACACAGCGTCGGTTTGAACGAACGGTACTATGGCAGCCACTATAGTCGTAGACCACAAGATAGGAAGAGTTACGAGTTGGGAATGACTCCCAGCTCCTACAAACCCCAAGAGCCGAGGTACAGTGATGTGGAACAGTGCCACACTGTCCCCAACCACGAAGGGTCTCGAAAGTACCCTTCACTAGGGCCTACACCAAGTGAAATGTTACACTACACAAAGTAATGTAACTATCTTCAATATCTTGAGGTGTACCCTTTTTGGCGAGCTTCGAAATCACTTGAGGCTTGACACCAAGGCTCGGGCTCTTCATCACAAACTCATCCTTGAGTTCTTGATGGGTCTGCTGCACACACCTGCGACACGCCGAACGTTCGACACAGGACAAAATAGAAACCGCGCACGACAAAATAGAAACCGCGCGCGAGACACAAACGACCGCGTAACACGCGTCTAGCGATAACTCGCTATTGACTCGACACACACACTCGACATCATGACTCAACATTCACACACAATTATAAGCATGAAATATATATTATCCCATGCCCTCATACCATTCCATACACACACACATTCACGCACACGGACAACAAGCCGAGTGCAAACCGTAGGGTTGCACCAACAAACTCCCCCTCGGATTGTTGGCCTTAGGATATGTTGCTCTCTCAGTTCAGAGCCATCCCAGCCAGCTTGCAACACTTCCAAT